TAAATTTAGTCTGGGATAGTGAAATAACACCAAGTACCGGTGTTAGCTACACTTTGGGCAACTCCTATTCCAAATAGTATATCTTTTAAGTGTTGGCAACAATTGCACTCCATTTCATTAAGATTTGTATCTTTTTGCTTTGCCATTAGGCTTTTCACAGTAACCAACCCTTAATAGTAACCTTGACAAAATCATGTCTCCTTTGATTACCTTAATGGATGAATACTATTGGGTTATAACTTTTTTCCCGTGTTTTGCATACTGTACCTTCTCTCCTGCACTTACCTGACCTTCCAACATCCATACGCCCACAAACCAACTACGAGTCTCTATACATACAGACATCTCCTCCATATGCCATATCACTACTATAAACAGATCTGGTCTCCCTCCCAGGGAACACAGCACTTCAATGGAGGGAGGCCTGAAACATTCTTTCAGTAATGGGGCATCTAGTTCACACTAACACAAATCTTCTATTTGCACCAAATATCAAGACTCTTCATGTATACTAGTCAGACCAAGACCTGGAGTGTGGGATATGCAAAAGAGCTAGGAATGCCCCCAAATCAGACCTTTCTGGCAACGCATTCACAATGTACTCTCAGACCTCACAGACAAAATTGTATCTTTCACACCAGAGATGTGTCTACTGCATTATTCTCAAATCCCAGTCAGACAGTAAATCTGTAAGACAGCAATCTAGTCCCCAGGTTTTGGAGTCAGAAGGTCGCACCGGTGGAGGAAATAGAAGAGCTTATCGCGTCCTGTTCGAACAACCTTCAGAAATGCAACTCAACCTAGTTTTACCTGACACATTGGCTTTCCTCAGGGGTAATTATCATGGAAACCGGGACAAGGGTGCAAACATAGGGCAAACTCCAGCTATATCCCTCATGGGTGCATGCAGACCTTGGGTCAATGACTGTGTGCAACAACCCCCCTTTTTTGTCCCACTTATCTCCTCTCCCCTTCTCTCTCTCTCCCTTATTCCATGTTTTTCTTTGTAGTATCCCTCACCCCACACAAAAAAAGTACAAAAAGAAAGGGAAAGGACAAAGTGTATTCCCCTTTTCTTCCGACTCCCTTCACTAACACGCATTCACATCCTAATTTACCTGTACATGCTTATTATTTCAATTCCTGCACCTCCATGGTTGGTTGAATATTCTTTACCCTCATAATATTTGTTATTTGATTTCTCACATGTTTATTAACTGCATAATATACACATTTTGTATCAATGTTTAATTCTGCTCCAATAAAGTATGAGTTGCAAAAAAAGTGCAATTTGCAGTGCAGGGAATAAAATAATCTAAAACAAATTAACATCAAATTTAAAAATGAAACCATTTTGTTTTCATGCTGGCTGTCAGTCAGAGCCAGGAGAGGTGTGGTTAGGGCTGCATTTAGAGAAACAAAGATAATTAAACTCCAAAATAGCAGAATATTGAGCAGTGAGACTTCAGAGTTATGATCTATACACTAAAACTGCTACATTAAGCTTATGCTGTTTTGGTGACCATAGTGTCCCTTTAACTCTTTGCTTGATATATCTCCCCAAATAAGTTTAGTGAGAAAAATAGAAAACAGGGTATGTGTTCAATGTAATAGACTATGAGCTTCTTAGTAATTGTGATATTCCAGAAATATAAAAGCAAAAAACAAGGAAACAATGACCTTTAAGTCTATTTAATGGTGACAATATTTATAATGTTATAATGCTTCTCCTTACCTCCCTTCTATCCCACAGGTTTACAGTATTTGCTGCTTGTAACTTTTGGGCATTATTTTAAAGTGAGTGGTTGATTTATGAAGGTGATAGATTGGATCCAAGGTAAAGCAAAGCCAAGCTCTATGTTTGCCTAAGAATATATCACCACCCAGTTTGTGCTTTAAGATTCTGTTAACTATAATCTTAGACTTAGGGGACATTCCATTTCCACTGCAACGCAATCTAAATCCACTATGAAATGTGAAATAGCAATGCTTGGAAAGTGAATGCATTTTCCTACTGAAAAGGTATATTGGAACGCAGCGGGGAGTCTAGAACAGGTAGTATATGTCTGTTTCTTCAAAACACTGTCTTAAGGAAAATATATATTTTTTTAAATTTAACCCTTCAATTTACTCCACAATTGACTGTTGCAACTTCATTTGGAAATTTTGTATACGTTATTCCGATTTCTCATCAATAATCAGCAATTGAAATATGAAATTGGACCATTCACCTTTCCTTTATTTCCAGATGTAAAAAGTGTTGAGAATAACGAATGTGGACACCTTTCAAACCTCTACATAGGTAACATTGTATGGGAAGTTTTAGTTGCTTCTAAAAGCAGTAGTAATTAGCAAAAATCCCATCAGATTTAACCGTCCCCTAAATAAACCTTATGCTTACCCTAACCATACAAGTACTTGTACTTGTACCCACAAGGCATTCGCACAAACAAGTCTCCACTTAACATGTCTCTCTTACAGATGTGGCAATAGGCATGAAAACAGGTATCATTTTAAGAGATGAGTTAAATAAATAGAGAGCAATTAAAAATCAGCACATCCCTGCTTAGGGGCAAACATATAGTTGAGTGGACTTGGGTAAAGATAGAGGTAAATGGATAAACAGCAGGAGCAGTCTGGGAAATAACAATAGCAAAATGAATTAAGAGGAGCTCAACCACAAGTAATGAGCACTCGACAGCACAGTAGAGAGCACAAGAGGTTCTGGGTAATTAATATGTAAGCAAATAACTGGGTAGGGTAACAATATAGAATTTACCGTAGATATTACAGTTAAGGAATTACCAAGTGTTGCACAAGGCTTACCCCAAGATATTAGCTGTCCCAGTAGCTTCACATAGGGACATTGAAGGAAAAAATCTGACAAAAGGGATTGAGGTTTAATTTCTAACATCCAAATTAAACTGCAAGTTGCCATGGTTTAGAATTTGTATTACAAAATTTATGAAAGAAATATCTCCAGGTCTCCATTTCAGTCTAGATTTTGGCCATATTTGTCTTTTTTGTTCTCCAAAACATACCGTTTACTGAATGAACCCTTTAATATAGGCTGCTAATGGAAAACTGTATCTTGAGAAGCAGGACAACTTTGTGGCATGTGACACGGACAGGCCAAGATGTTAGTTGATGTTGGGTAGCTATGCAGAGGATCTGAATCCTCTAGGCAGGCAGGAATTGTCCATTGTTTGAATTGTATTTATTTACATAATGAGTTTATAAGGATTTGTGTTTATTTGCTTCATTTACCTTAAGGGCCATATGCTAGAGGGGTCCATAGTGACATGCTGACCTAGTGCCTTCTTGTTTCTTATTCTTTTCCCCATTACATTATCTGTTCTTATTCTACCCCTGACATTACCTTACTAACAGCAGCTCATGATACTTCATAGAAGATATATGAAACCAGAGTTCATTACATTATTGCTACACAAATTTGATGGCATTTCATAGTCAAAAATTGGTCAGAAGAAGCCAATAAGAGGTTTTAGATGCTACATATTTCGTCTTCTGCGGATCATAATAAGGTATTATGCTAAAGAAAACCTTCTTGCTCATTTTTAGGCACTGAGAGATGACAATAAAAATAAAAAATAATGAATAAATAACATTGTGCTATTAAAACAAATGATATGTACATCATATACGTTAATGGCCTCATGCTTTATTACTTTATTTGTTCTATTATACATGTTTGTCTTTTAAATTAATCCATAACAGTACAAATTCTCGTTATGTGCTTACGTATGACCAAATTGCAAATATTCGCTCTTTGTTATACTGTGAATTACATTGCTAATCGTAATGTGTTTGTGAATTGTTTGAAAACCAGCAAAACTGAATGGGGAAAAAGGAAATAGGTCTGTAGAGAATGGTAATGGAGAAATGGGAGACAAGAAAACGTTCAGGTGTTTTACAAAGGAATATAATTAAGAATATAACAGTGGGTCTTTTTATTGTACTGATGCTTACATATATATTATAAACCATACAATAAAATAAATAAAATACTTTTATTCGATTTCTCTCCCTCTTCTCACTCATTCTGGTACTTCTTGTTTCTGGTATGTATTAATTGTTGGGCAGTTTTGTTCAGGTATCAATTGGATTCTGTATCTGGAATGATACTATTGTTTTCTAGTATTGATTGTACATATCTGTGATTAGTATTCATTGTATATATCTATTGCTCTATCAATGCTTAAGCTTATTGGTACACTTTTTGTGATACCTGTTATTTTGTACCCTGTCAATAAAGTAAATTTTTATTTATATTGTTGTGCTCATTCATTACTATTAATCCTTTGTTTGTCTGTCTGTTATATCACTAACACAATTTATTGATGGTCAGGGGCCATGGTTAAATCTACACAAGAATATCAGATTGTGTGAGAAAGATGATACGGCTGTAAAATGTGCCATAGGAAACAGGTACTATATCTTGGCTTGTGTGATCGCAGTTCTGCGTGTCTTTGCTATGTGGAAATGGGCAGCACTACTTGTTGCCAACTAAGAGGTTACTAAATGTGAACCTATGTAGGGATATGTAGGGATATTTCGCATCTGGACTCAAAACACTGCACAAGTGATCAAATTCTTACTATATATTGATCCTGATAAAATGTGATATGACATTTAAAAGGACACTGTATGCACCCAGACCACTTCAGCTAATTGTACTAAACCTAGTGCAGCAATGTTAAAAGGTAATCGGCTCTGGGAAAAGGTAAGTAAATAAAGGGTTTTTAACCCTTTATTTACCAGGGAGGGGGTGGCAGAGGGGGTGATAGTGCCAGGAATACAGCTTTGTATTCCTGGCGCTACAGTATCTATTTTGTTCTCCCTCTAATAAAATCCTGTACTCTCCTTAGTCTAATCCTGTGACATCTGATAAAATTGTAGCATTTGACTGATGAGTCCGATAAGTCCAAGTTAAGTTAAAGTACGGTTTAACTTAAGTTCTAGTGAATAGTAGGTTGTGTGCCATTAAATGTCCTGCAGAAAAGTAGATTCCAAATATATTCCAACCTTTTTGGTAGTGTTTATTTGGTGGTGATAATAAATGAACATAGCCAGTTGGGCTTCTTTCAAGTACATCTGCTAATGTGACACCAACAAGATTCCATCCTTTCTTTTTCTATGCATTAATGATTTGGGCGCTATCCTGTTTGTTTACGTGTTTTACAGCATGCATTTGGGTTGTCTTGCTTATAGTCTGGTTTATTGTATTACATTGGAGTTAGCATAATGTTGGCTCAGCAGATTGAGCTTTGCAAAGAAAAACAAAATGCTTATTAGTAGACTCTATTTCAATTCGTAATACAAGTAAGCAGCAGTGCCATAGCATTTCCATTAACCATATAACTATTAGAATGAGATCTGAATCTCTCCCATTTAAATCACTGGGGTCCACATCGCTGCCAGCTTGAATCGCTATCACTGTTAATTGTCTATTGTAAGGGAATAGAGCAGACTGCTGGTTTGTCGGCACCTCGCTTTTTAGAGGGTCCAGGGAAGCTGAAGTGCATTTAAACAGATCATACCTCCCAGCCATATTCTCTTTGTTTGTTTGTTTGATTTTTATTTTGGACCATTTTTTCTCATCCATATTATTCAGTATTTCTTTGTATTATTAATATTAATTTGCTCATGTTGTGAAAAGTGAAGTGTCCTGTTGAGTTATACTCTTACATACCCAACATTAGGAGGTATGCTGTTGGAACGGATGAGTGGGCCTCAAAAGGTCAAAAGGGCAGGACCAAAGGGTCTTGTCTGGTCAGCAGTTCTTGCCGAACGGCCTGCTGAACCGCTGCCAAAATCGAGACTGTAGCGGGTTTGCCCCTGTATTTTTTTAACTCACTGTTTTTGTCAATGTGTGTGTATGTTTTTACTTGTATATTTAAAGTAAAATGTAAACTACAATGCTTAATATATCCTTTTACGTTTCCAGATAACAGATCCACACCAGGAGTAATAATACACAGCTCAACGACGCAGAGAAATTGATGCTGCATTGTAAGTTTACCTTCATATTTTTTTATTATAAGGATTACATTGTGAAAGCTATAGTTTACTTTACACATCACTGGGTGTTTGCTGACATACTTTGGATCTACAGCAGTGATAGGGTTGTGTGAAAGGTTCATCCTAACATTGATGGGTATGTTTTCCAACCTTTTTTTACAATGCTACTATGATGTTTGGTAACTCAACAGCCTTTTGATGTAATTATTTTGACTTATTCTTTTCTTAATATTACTATTAGCATGTCTACTGCAATCTATAATTAGTGGGGGTTATTACAAATATCATGTTTTGACCCAGATTTCCATTTGTCAAGAGAATTAAATCAGCCATGTAGTTCTATGACCACAAATCTTTTTCTTTGAAAACCTTTTTTTTTTTTTTTTTTAAATCAACAAAAAAGAAAATAGTTTTTTGCACCAAATAGATTTCACATGGCAATATTAATTCACAGCTGCATGACTTTCCATTTATTTGCTTTTTTACTTGTTTTAAAGGGACACTGTAGGCACCCAGACCACTTCAGCTAATTGAGGTGGTCTGGGTGCTGTGACCCTTTCGCACTTAGTACAGCAATGTTAAACATTGCAGTTCCAGAGAACTTCAATGTTTACATTGCTGCACTAAGTCTGCCCTCTGTGGCTGTCTAACAGACAGCCACTAGAGGGCTTCCGGAATCTAAACTGACTTTTGGTCCGTTATCTGACTCTGGAGGTCCTCATGAAAAATGCTTTCCTGTGGGGAGGTTTAATGCGTGTGCGCGGTTATTGATGCACATGAGCATTAGGTCTCCCCCCGTCGGCTGACGTCAGCGGGGGAGGAGCGTGGGTGGAGCCTGACCCAGCGCTGAGGGACACTGGCGCTGAATTCAGTTAAGTGGCTGAAGGAGCGCGAGGGATGGGGGGACTACAGGAGCCTATAGTGCCAGGAGAACGAGTTTGTTTTCCTGGCACTATAGGATCCCTTTAAATTTCATTACTGCTAAATAAACCACATTATGCAATGTATCAGTCCCTCAAAGTTTGGCTCACTGCTGCCATCTTGCTTTTAGAATAAAACATAAAACCTGTGTAGAAGAACTCACCATAGTGACAAAGAATATTTAATTATATTCTGCAAAATATATTTATGTTTGGAGAATCCAATGGCCTAAGAACCACATAAGGAAGCCATTTATCCTCACAACAGAATCTAGATCATAATCACTGCATAGAGAAACTTGTTTTGTTTTGTTTTTTCCATTTTTAAAATTTTTTATATCAGACTGTGGATCACAAAATATAGTAACAAAGTGACATCAACAAAATGATTCAATGACTATATCAGGCAATACAAGTGAGAATATAAAATACAATAATCCCCTACGTGGTTCATGTTATTGACAAATGTCTGGTGTCCTCTGTATACTTCTGATTATTATTGTTTGCTCTCAATTTTTCACTTTGTTCATTCATTCGTGTCATGTCTATCTTGTCTGTAAAAACTTAATAAAAACGGGGGGCGTGGCTAACCGCCGAACGAGATGGCCGCTCAGTAAACTCGCTCCGGCACATGGGCTCCCTATAACCCACTCCAAACATCGCTGAAACCTTTCAGAAACCTAAAAAAAAGATGGCAAACGCTAAAGCAAAGAAATCTGCTGCTAAAGCAGAAAAAATGAGCTTCTTCGGACAAAAATCGCAACCTATGAGTGAAACTACACGGGGGACGGCTGCACAAGATGGCGCGGAAGATTCCAACACCACGCTGCCGCACATAGACCCAGAAGCACCCCAACCTGCAGAATACCTCACAAAAGGCTTCTTTCAAAAACCATGGAGGGCATGGCAACAAAATTGATAACCACATGGCAAACGACCGCGGAACAGATTAAGCGAGAGGTGAGGGACCTCTCTATAAGGACCACCTCTGTGGAGCAACATTGCGCAGAGCTATCATTGGCGCAAGGGGACCTGTCTCAACAACTAAAGGCCCTGCAATGCCAAATGGAACACGTGGAAGCCCGAGTAGCGGACCAAGAAGACATACCGACGGATATGCTCCTCGTGGACATCGGGTGACCAAGCCAAAGCAACTACCTGACTCTGTACCTCGCAACGTCCTCCTGAGGGTCCACTTCTACCACATAAAAGAGCTTATCCTCCGGACGCACCGCAGCAGGGCTGACCCCCACGAAGACTACTCTACAATACGCATCATGGCGGACATCTCCGCAGCCACCCTCAGGCGCAGACGGGAATTTCTCCACACCACCACGGAGCTACGCACCCACGTTATAAGATACAGGTGGGGTTTCCCTACGAAAATTATACTCACCAAGAACTGGAAAACCGTGCAGATCTCGACTCCGGAGGAAGGAAAGAAATTGCTTGCCAGCTGGGGCCTAGACCACAACCCCACCACGGGAGCAAGGTCTAACTCTCCCAGGTCATGCCGCAACACGAATACAGACTAAACAACCCCTTCAGGGTCTTACGGACTACCCAGCTATATGAGGCATGCTCACTGCAAGTATACTTGAACTGTATATCACTGTCATATAAATGTACATGTAATATCACGTATATAGGGCCTGTACACAGGCCAAAGTAGCACCAGGGGCCATCAGAGGCGTAGATACAATGCCCATGCCTAATGTACCTCACACATAACATGCTACGCTAAAAGGCCTGCACTCGACCATGTAGGCACCTCTAAAGCCCCCCCATCCAGGGCCAATGTGGCTCAAACACCCGTCAGCGAATTACACCGCACGCACCCATGTTACCACTGCTAACGTAATCACCACCCCTGACACCACCTGCCCATTTAGGCAGACACCCCCACGGCGGGTGACGTCTGGCGACTCTGGACTAGAACTTGACACCTTCGCCAAAAGTCACCAACCGCCCCACAGTTGAAGAAGAAAAAAAAAAGGGGGGCATCACACCGCAGGGGGCGACCACATGACCCGCAATCATTGTAGTGGCCAGGAAATGTTCCACGTATAATGCATGACGACTGGAAGGCTACAATAGGGCAGTGTAACTGCTCAGGAGATTAACCCACCTGGAATAGCCACGGATGCGGTACCGTTAATAAAATTGTGGCCACACTGAGGTACGCTAATACCATAATCAAAACGCCCCAAAACAGGCTGCAGTAATTGTATGTAGTAGGCCGCCCTTACATCTGCCATAGGCAGCATAGAGAAAGTCTATAACAGGCGCTACACACCATAGTGAAAGACACCAATTACATGACTCAGGGGGTAAGGTCCGACACTGTCCCCCGGGACACAGTGCAATCCAACGCCCTAACTGTATAAAATACCGAAACCAGGGACGATGTATACGCCCCCCAACAATGTTACAGACAATCAAGTATTGCATCTACCGATACGTCCCTTAGGGGAAAAGCGCCACACTCCACCGATAGACGCACAGCACCTGGAACTGCTTTCCATAATAAAAATGTAAGACACCATGATAGAAACTGTTAAATCGCCAGTACGGCAATGAATGTATGCTTAGCTGATACTTGCACGCCTCCTACAACTGGAAAAGTACTGACCTATGTTTGAAATTGTTACAATTGTTTATGTTCTTATCTAAGATAACGGTTTCAGCCCCAAACAGTTCTACACATTGGAGCCCAATTAGCCACCCAATTGGAAATTTAATTCCAAACCCCCACGGTACGACTACAGTGCCAGACCTACAGGTCACCTGTATATACCCCAGACACCCCTGCCTATCCCCGAGTTTCACCCTTCCCCCCCACCCGTTCCTTGTCAGCTGATAAACAACATCTGCAGACCAATTCCGCCTATACTGACGGAACGACACCCTCCACCAACGTAACACACCACACACGCTACCTACACCATGATCATCTACTCACACAACACTAAAGGGCTAAATACCCCACATAAGAGGCGACTACTCCTGGACGATCTCAAACGAACCAAAGCAGACATAGTATGTGTGCAAGAAACCCACTTTGTCACCAACCGCATTCCTACGTTTGCTGCAAGAGATTACCCCCTGCAATATCATGCAACACACACTTCGAAATCCAAAGGAGTTTCTATTCTCCTACACAATTCCCTCACAGTAGAGACACTAAGGGTCAAGAAGGACAGCCAAGGCAGATACGTGATCCTGCAATGTATAATTAATAAT